CATTAAATTACATGTCTAAAATCACAAATGCCTTGAAAGCTGTAGCTCAAAATACCAAACAAATTACAGATTCAGATTCTCAGAAAGCTCAATGCATTTCTTGGATTTTATCCACTTCATCAGGATCTAGAGATGATTAGCAATAAATATGAAAAAACATATATGTATATTGTATTAACACATATTATTATATTCCGCCTAATATCTATCTATGTTTTTTGGTTCCATTTACCTGAATTTGTCCAAAAGAAAAACCACAGAGGAAGAGTCAATTATAGAGTGTCGGATAGAGAGGCACATGTGGGTGTGGGAATCCCACTAAGGTGGTTGCAAAGAAGCACTACAAAGCACTATATAATGGTAGATTATCCCATAAACTTGACTAAATGAACAAGCCATATGTTGTTGGAGTCATCTGCAATGTATAATAACATAGTTTTTTATTTTTCTTACAATTAATTCTTAAAAAATATATCCCAAATATATACATGTATGTAAACATACACATGTCCATATAGCTATCCGTCAAAAAGTATATTATCACATACATGAGCTATCAATTATTGCCGCTGGCAATAATCGTCGCGTTTTCTTGGCAGGAACGGCTCCCCACCATCCCCCTTTCCCCTGCCGGGAGAACACAATAGCTCCATAGGAGGGGAATCAATCGATTTTCTTTCCTGCAACCTATGGACTAGTAGGACTAGTAGAATTAACCCCAATACACTTCTCAATGCCCAAAACGCTGTCTGACTTGCCTGCTTGAGTGACTGGAGTTTTACCAGACACTTGCAGCTCTCTCCCCTATCATAAATAGCAATCCACATTCCTGATAGACTGGTTATCAGCCAAAACAGTAAAGCTTAAGTATATATCATAACTCATTAAATAATAACAGCACAGCCAGAATATAGACCTATTTATCTCCTTCAGTTAATTTGTAGCACTTTGAGCCCAAACATCAATAACCTAGGAGTACTGGGAACAGAACTGGCCAAATTCCTCTCCTAGGTAAACTGGGCATTTAAGACCTATCATATTTATAGCCATTTTGAAGCCAATTTCATGCTGAACAATAATATGCACGTTAGCAGACTGCAAATGGTAGATATTAAGAGTTATGAATACTTATAGAGAAATGTACCTAGAATACTGTCATAAACACAGTGACATCAGGGCCACTTCTCAGCCACTTGATTGGTCAGATGGTCTCTGACAACACCTCCTTGCTATCAGAGAAAAGGAGGGTGCTCCTCAAGTTGACAGCTCTCGTGTACCATCAAGCAAATGAAGACCTGTCAGGTTATGAGAGCCAATATACCAGATTACTCATGGACTAAATTTTGCTGAAACAGGACTTGCAAGTATTCTTTATTTTCACCACGTTATTATTATTATTATTATTATACAGTATTTATAAAGCGCCGATAGTTCGCTCAGCGCTGTACATTACAAAGGGGGACAGAACGTGACAGAACAATAACAATACAATGCAACACATGAGGGGATTGAGGGCCCTGCTCTTTTGAGCTTACAATCTTTCTGTTGCTTGTTGTCTCTTTGTTACTTTGTAATAAATTTATTATGTTTTTAATATTTTATTTGCACAATATTTACCTTTTTATTATTAAAGTATATTTTGAAAAATGCTAAAACTGTCTCTAATGCCCAATGAAAACTAAAAGAATACCTGTTTCTTGAAGAGTACTAGTGTAATATAAATCACTGAATATACATGTCTGTGGTGACAGTGTGTGTACAGATGTTTACTTTAAAACCATAACTGTTATTGCTAATCTTGTGAAAGTTTCAGACTCTTTGGTAAAAGTCAGTGGTGGCGGTTTAAAGAGCTAACTGCTACGTTAACTAAACCCAGTGACAATCGCTCTGTCTGTTGGCACCTAGATTGTGGTCCTGCAAGTTGGAAAGTCTTTGTGCAGTGTGGGGCTGAGAATGGCATTGTTGTGTAAGTGACAGCAGGTTGACTGCCCTTTTCACGAGCAAGGTTGGTGAAAAGTGAAGTGGTCTGCCAGCATTTATCACAGACACCATAAAAATCCCCTTGATAGTTTTTTTTGTTGGTGTGTCCACAGTGTACTGAGATCACTGAACCATCTGTCCTATGCATGGCCTGTACACTAAAATATTTCAAAAGACTCAAAATGTATTTTTTTTTTTTGGTGCACAGACCTGATCCAGCTGAGTCTACCTAAGAAAGTTTAAAAACTAAACAGAAATAATGTATCAGTCAAGATACATAAGGTATTGTTACTTATTTCTTACATGAATGTATATTAGTAAGACGAGTGAACTTTAAAGAGGTCACAAATGTCTCCTTTTTTTCACAACACATTGGTGTCCAATAGTTTCTTACAATATGGTAAGTTATTTCTTTATAAATACCTTGAAAACATTCTTTTGTTTGCTATCAGTCAGCTAAAAGCTCAATCTTCCATATGTGCTGCTTTCCTAAACTAATAACCAAAATTAACATTCCTTAGATTAAATTTTTTCGGAGCTACATCTTAAAATGTTACTGATCTGAGGACCCTGTCTGCAACAATATGCACAGGCAGTTCAAGGAAACAACTCATTGAAGACCAACCTTTGCTCCTCAAGGGAAAGTGGTTGACAATGCAGGCAGTTTTCACACATCTCCCTGTAGCCTGATCCAGTGGTGTATTTAGGTTTTGTGCTGCCCTAGGCAACACAAAAATGGGGAGAGAGCCTGACATTGACAAACAACATCCCTGCCCAACCCCCTGAGAGAGCCTGCCCACTAATACCCCCCCCCCCCCCCCAAGGCGAGAGAGAGAAAGGCACTCACCTTCACAGCTCTGGACATCACCCGGAATGAGAGTCGGGCTCTCCATATACCATCAAGCAGCCCGCATCCTCTCTCAGATCTCACCTGGTCTGATCCGAGGAGCATAGAAGAAATGATGGCCCCATGAGACAGGGAAGGGAAAGGAGCTACTCTGAATCTGTATTTTAGGGCCAGTGTTTCATCTGTAATGAAAAAAAAAAATAATTTACAACAGGGGTGTCCAACCTTTTGACTTTCCTGGGCCACATTGGGAGAAGTAATTTTCTTGGGCCACACATACAATACACTAATAATAAGGATAGCTTATGAGCAGAAAAGTCTGGCAGATCACAATCACTGATATAGATACTGTACCTACAGTATCTGAGTAATAAAACCTAATTTTTTTTCAATATTTTTCATTATAAAAGTAAAAGTGGGCAACATAAAACTAGTGTGATATTTGACACTGTTTTTTGATGAACTAACACATCAACATCTAGTTTGATGGAAGTAGTAACAATTCTCAATGAATTCTCAAGGTGCTCATCAGATATTTTTTTGGTTCTAATTTTGAACTTCATGTGCTTCATCCTTGAAAATAGTTGCTCAAAATATAGGCGCTGCCAAAAACTGATGACATGAATAAGGCGTTAATATAGTTTACGATCTTGTGTTGAGTCGCATTCATAGCCATCTTGGCCCGCTGGTTGGAAAACCATGCTTTGCAATGTCTAGATGAAGTATGCATTGTGTGTGAATTGAGACAGATAAACAATGATGCTTTAATATCACTTTAATATATTGCGCTGAGGCTGCTGAAAAGTTCTGGTTTGCAGCACTAGATGACATCAGCTACAGGACAGCAACACCATCTTTGTTCAGGTATCACCTGGGGTTTTCTTTCTGGATTAGGTTTTCTGCCTAGAATTGATGTGATCATGTTGTAAACCCTCTTAAATACAGTAGTTTTTATGTTTATGGTTGTAGGTACAAAGCAATATTACGTAGGAGTAGGCGGTCAGTATTGGCTGGGGTTAAGGGGGGGTGTTTTTATATGGGGATCAGTGTTCTATTTTTACGGAATAAGGACAAGTGTGCTCTCTGTTTATAAGCTTACTGCATGATATATTGTCCAAATAAATTTTAATATTATGAATATTGGTGGTGTCCAGATCCACAATTTCCTCTATTTATATTGATACAAGCCTAGCATAAGGATTTTTGTCAAGTAAACAGCTTTTGTTTATTGTCTTCATAGATACAAGTCAAAGTGCATTTGACCAGCTCCCCCCCCTCCACATACTCCTCCACCCCCCACTGTAATTTTCACTAAAACTTGAAACTGATTGATCTTTTTTGTTTGAACTTACAAAGGCATACTGCTTACAAGCAGTGGTAACTATTTCAATTATTACATCACCACAATTGACATTTGATGATTACTCATCATCCTGCACATTGCACATCTTTTGCATGACACTTTTAAGGAAAATGATAACTCTCTTCTCTTTTGATAATGATGAACCTGACTATAGCAGGACAGTTTTGTAATCAGTGTGAGACTCCAGGTCTACCATTTTTTTCCCCCGATATTTCACTCTCTACTGTATGTATGTCTGTCTAAAGGTAGTGAGTGCTGTCTCAGGAGTTTTGCTGTTATATGAACAGCTTCATGGTTTCTTGCAATATCAATGACTTTGTTTAGAGTAAGATCAGGTCTGTCATCAATATTAAGGTGGCCATACACCAGTAAAATGTTCTATTAAAAATTTTTTTTTTTCAGAACGTTCGCTCTATTTTCTTTAGTGGGGTCAGAGTGCTCCTTAATATAAATGTGCCCATCAGAGTGCCCCTTAACATAAAATGTGCCTATCAGCATGCTGCTTATTTTCTGTTACGGGGCACTCTGACTGAGCACATTTTATGTTAAGGGGCACTCTGATGGGAACATTGTATGTTAAGGGGCACTCTGATGGGAACATTGTATGTTAAGAGGGAACTCTGATGGGCATCTTTTATGTTAAGAGGGCACTCTGATGGGCACATGTTATGTTAAGGGGGACATAGTGTATGGGCACATACTGTGGAAAGGGGCACTCTGATGGGCACATGTGATGGAAAGGGGCACTCTGATGGGGAATATGATGTAAAGGGGCACTCTGATGGGGAAATATCATGGGAAAGGGGTACTTTGAGTGTAAGGGGGCACTCTGATGGCAATACCTGATATAAGGTGTCAATGTGATGGGGATACCTGATGTAAAGGGGCACTCTGATGGGGACGGCTGATGTAAAGGAGCACTCTGATGGGCACACCTGATGTGATGGGGATACATGATGTAAAGTTGCACTCCGATGGCAACACCTAATGTAAGGGGGCACGCTGATGGGCACACCCTATGTAAGGTGTCACTGTGATGGGGGAACCTTATATAATGGGGCACTCTAATAGGGACAAATGATGTAAGGTGGCATACTGATGGGAGACACCAAATGTAAGGGGGCCTTCTGATGCAGAAACCTGTTATAAGGGGACACTCTGATGGGAATGCTGGATGTAAGGGCGCACTCGATGATGGGAATGCCTGATGTAAAGGAGCACTCTGATGGGAATGCCTGTGTGTAAGGGGGCACTCTGATGGAAATGCCTGAAGTAAGGGGGCACGCTGATGGAAATGCCTGATGTGTAAGGGGGCACTCTGATGGAAATGCCTGCTATATGGGGACACTCTCATGGGGAACACATTACTAAAGGGGGCACTGTTATGGGAACGCCTGATATATGGGGGGAGGGGTACTCTGATGGTGGCAACTGATTTATGTGGGAAGTCTGATGGTGGCACCCAATGTAATAAATGATTCTGGAGGGGGAACCTGATGTAAGGGGAAACACTAATGGGAATATTTATATTCGGACCTCGGCTAGAAGAAGATTTTAGTGATCGGACCTCCTTGAATTTTTATTCAATACCCCTGTTCTAGAGCAACAACACAGCAGAAGCTATTACTTCTGTCTCTGATTGAAACTCCTTACTGCTCATTCACACCAGGTGCGCTGAGCTGTATTGATCTGCATTGATCAACATAGGCTCAATATAAGGACACTTTGTGCATAAAGTTAAATAATTTTTTTTTTTAAATTTAAGTTAAAAAGTAAACACTGTGATGCGTTGTACCAACACGTTGCAATGCACATTATGTGCACCATAACACACCCCTGCCACTGTGAATGGGCCATTATTAGGCTATCAGAAGGGAGCAAGAAATAGAGATTTAGTCATAGCTCTGATTTTTTTATCACTTGTCAATGTAAATTTCACCCTGAGCTACTGGGTTCTGTAAACAAACGTTTTTTTTCTTTTTAACAGAGTGTCTAAGGCAGCGGTTCTCAACCTGGGGGTCGCACGACCATTTCACAGGGGTCGCCTAAGACCATCGGAAAACACATATTTCCGATGGTTTTAGGAACCGAGACACCGCTCCTGTCTCAGGCGATCTGTGGGCGGGATGATATGCTGCCCCTGTAACCTGGCCACACCTCCGGGATTACTCAACAGCTCCGCCTCCTCGCCGCTGATTGGCCACCGGAACTGTAGCTCAGGAGAGGCACACAGGCGGCCAATCATCGGCGAGGAGGTGGAGCTTGGAGAGGAGGAGCCGAGCGGCAGCGCGCGGAGATCAAAGATCGAGGGAGCTGCAGGAGCGAGTGAAGAGAGAGGCCAGAGAAGGAAGACAGCTGACAGGTAAGTGCAAATTTTGCTGCTGCAGCCAGGTATGCAGGCTGTAGATGGGAGAGGGAGAGAGCCCAGGCTGGAGCAGGAGTCAGCAAGGTAAGTATCATTGGTGTCAGTGGAAGGGATAGTGCCCCATCATTTGTGTCACTAATACCAACGATGGGGCACTATTTCCTCCCCCCACTGACACCAACGATGGGGCACTATTCCTCCCCCCACTGACACCAACGATGGGGCACTATTCCTCCCCCCACTGACACCAAGAATGGGGCACTATTCCTCCCCCCACTGACACCAACGATGGGACACTATTTCCCCCCCCACTGACACCAATGATGGGTCACTATTCCCCCCACTGACACCAATGATGGGTCACTATTCCCCCCCCCTGACCCCAATGATGGGGCACTATTCCTCCCACTGATACCAATGATGGGGCACTATTCCTCCCCACTGACACCAATGATGGGGCACTATTCCTCCCACTGATACCAATGATGGGGCACTATTCCTCCCACTGACACCAATGATGGGGCACTATTCCTCCCACTGACACCAATCATGGGACACTATTCCTCCCACTGATACCAATGATGATGGGGCACTATTCCTCCCACTGACACCAATGATGGGGCACTATTCCTCCCACTGACACCAATGATGAGGCACTATTCCTTCCAATGACACCCACAATGGGGCACTATTCCTCCCACTGACACCCACAATGGGGCACTATTCCTCCCACTGACACCCACAATGGGGGCACTATTCCTCCCACTGACACCAATGATGGGGCACTATTCCTCCCACTGACACCAATGATGGGGCACTATTCCTCCCACTGATACCAATGATGGGGCACTATTCCTCCCACTGACACCAATGATGGGGCACTATTCCTCCCACTGACACCAATGATGGGGCACTATTCCTCCCACTGACACCAATGATGAGACACTATTCCTCCCAATGACACCCACAATGGGGCACTATTCCTCCCACTGACACCAATGATGGGGCACTATTATTCCTCCCACTGACACCAATGATGGGGCACTATTCCTCCCACTGATACCAATGATGGGGCACTATTCCTCCCACTGACACCAATGATGGGGCACTATTCCTCCCACTGACACCAATGATGGGGCACTATTCCTCCCACTGATACCAATGATGGGGGACTATTCCTCCCACTGACACCAATGATGGGGCACTATTCCTCCCACTGACACCAATGATGGGGCACTATTCCTCCCACTGACACCAATGATGAGGCACTATTCCTCCCAATGACACCCACAATGGGGCACTATTCCTCCCACTGACACCCACAATGGGGCACCATTCCTCCCACTGATACCCACAATGGGGCACTATTCCTCCCACTGACACCCACAATGGGGCACTATTCCTCCCACTGACACCCACGATGGGGCACTATTCCTCCCACTGACACCCACGATGGGGCACTATTCCTCCCACTGACACCCACGATGGGGCACTATTCCTCCCACTGACACCCACGATGGGGCACTATTCCTCCCACTGACACCCACGATGGGGCACTATTCCTCCCACTGACGCCAATGATTGGGCACTATTCCTCTCACTGACGCCAATTATTGGGCACTATTCCTCCCCACTGATGCCATTGATTGTACACTATTCCTCCCACTGATGCCAACGATGGGGCACTATTCCTTCCACTGATGCCAATGATTGTACACTATTCCTCCCACTGATGCCAATGATGGGGCACTATTCCCCCCACTGACACCAATGATGGGGCACTATTCCTCCCACTGACACCAATGATGGGGCACTATTCCCCCCACTGACACCAATGATGGGGCACTATTCCTCCCACTGTCACCAATGATGGAGCACTATTCCTCCCACTGACACCAATGATGGGGCACTATTCCTCCCACTGACACCAATGATGGGGCACTATTCCTTCCACTGACACCAATGATGGGGCACTATTCCTCCCACTGATACCAATGATGGAGCACTATTCCTCCCACTGATACCAATGATGGGGCACTATTCCTCCCACTGATACCAATGATGGGGCACTATTCCTCCCAGTGACATCAATGATGGGACACTATTCCTCCCACTAATGCCAATGATGGGGCACTATTCCTCCCACTGACACCAACGATGGGGCACTATTCATCCCACTGATACCAACGATGGGACACTATTCATCCCACTGACATCAGTGATGGGGCGCTAGTCCTCCCACTGCAAAATTACAGTTATGAAGTAGCAACGAAAATAATTTTATGGTTGGGGGTCACCACAACATGAGGAACTGTATTAAGGGGTCGCGGCATTAGAAAGGTTGAGAACCACTGGTCTAAGGTGATCCTAAAGAACAGGAAAAGCTGTTGGCTACATATTAAAATATCCAAATGCAGTATTTCATATTTACCTAATTAAAAAAAATGTATTTTATATTAGTTTTTGACCACAATAAAAAAATATATACAAAATAAAGCTACTGTACATGGTGTCCACCACATTATATTACAGTTACTGCTCAATATTACCATATTTTGTGCTTACAGTATTGTTTGAAGCATGTGTTCTGCTCTGATATTTGTATGATTATTGTCTCAGCACTCTTCTATATGATGGTTTACTGTGTGTTCTTCTTACTGTTGGCACACTATTACTTTTAAAACGTTCCCACCTGGCACCATATACATTGTTGTATGCTTTTTGGATCGTCATATACTGGTTTACTGTTTTTCCATGGGAGTACCAGATTTGGACTTACTACACAACATTTGGTTACTCCATCTGATGATATGATAACGATCTGTGTCTGCTTCAATATCTAGAGAGCAAATTATTGACAATAAACAGTTATTTGGAATCTATCTTTCTCATTGGTACATTTAAAGTCCCTTATCATAGGAGAAGTCCTAGTAGTGGGCTGTTTGGTTGGATGGTACCTCCAAGGAAGGCCTGGCTCACACTAATTCCATGCTATTTTGATCCAGTTTCAGGTACGATTTTGTAGTGCAAGTTGTAATTTTGGCACAATTTTAGAAACTGCTCTGCTACTACTACTGGTACCTTGGGAGGTAGTTGAGGGTTAGGAAAAATTAAAAAGCTTTCAAAATCACATCGCAATAATCAAATCTACATGCATTTTTGATGCTTCAATTCTATAGGGCACATAATTGTACTGTATCGCACCAAAGTAGCACAGGACCCTTTTCCATTTATAGTAGTAGTCCAAAAATGCACAGGCAGCAAAATCCCAACTGTCATAAAAATCACACACAACTCACACTACAAAATCGCACCTGAAATCGGATCAAAATAGCATTGCTGTTGAGAAAATACCTGTAGAGAGTGGCCAATGGCCGAGAATGTTATGCTAAGCACCATTCACAGTTCTAAAGAGGTTGAATTGTCTGAACCACTAAACAGATGATCGGTGTCAGAGTCTCTAGTCAAGGTTTATGCAGGAGAAAAGTTTTGCAGTCGGGGTCAGAAGTCAAGGTCAATGCAGGAGAAGAGTTTCGTAGTCGAGTCAGAAGCCAAAGTTGATGCAGGAGAAGATTTTTGTAGTTGGGTCACAAGCCAAGGTCCATGCAGGTGAAGAGTTTCGTAGTCAGCGTCACAAGCCAAGGTTGATTCCAAGTAGCAATAGTGGTAGCTCAAGACTGTGGGTAGAAATACTAAGAGGAGCACTATATTCTGGCAACAGGAAGTACAGAGGCATGGCTTAAATCAGGAAGTGAATAGGAGAAGCAAAGAGTTCAAGGTTCAAGACAGGATCATCCAAGGATTTGTTCAGGGAACTGTCCAGCATTCCAGGTGGCTCAACAAGAAGATACCCTGCTTGACACTAGGTTCAAACCCAGTCCCTGACATCCT